ACGCCGCCGAATCGAAGGATGTGCGCCTGAGCGTGTGGGCGTGGCTGTGGAAGCAATAAGCGCGTGCGAGATAAGCAAACAGCCAGCAGCTGAATATACATTTGCACATTATAGATATTGAGCTATAGCAATATAAGTATATATATATATATATATATATATATACGTATATATATATTTGTGTGTGGACCTCTGCTTTATTGTATTACAAGCAAATCGAAAGTATTTTTAAGGGCGTTAACAGCAGATTAAAGTAAATGTGGCCTAACACGCAGCATAATAAAAACACTCTGGAATTTGATGGCATCTAATGCACAGCTCAAATAACACTTAAGCTCTCTGGGGCTGACTTTCTCTCTTATCTATCTACACTTTGCCGACGCAGGTTAATAGTCTTTTGTGTATCTTATCTTTCTTATCTTATGATATATTTCCTTTTTTTCAGTCACATTTTGCGTTGAATTTGTGCTTTGTTCAAGAATATTCTGTGTTTTAATTAAAAGCATTGCGAACCGGCCATAAAGAAGCTTCTTTTACCACAATATTTCAGCGAACACAAAAAAATGTGAAGCGAAGCTTAAAAGCTGAACACAATTTTTTGCTCTCTGCTTTTACAGAGGCTTTTATTCTCGTTCGGCATAAGCTCAGCTTTTAGTCCTCTCTGTGCACGCCGCCTATGAATTAATAATAGAGGGACCATTAGTTCCCTGCGGACTACGTCTTGATTTGTGTCCATGAACTCATTTATATTGAATATCTTTTCAGGGTTCTGCCCCACGGTCTGGACTATTTCTTACTCAGCTCTACAGATTTGATAAAATCACAAGTTTCCCAAAAATAGGAATATTTTTTTGTCCTATTGACCATCTTTTAACTTTAGCTGAGCACTTAAAAATATGTAAAACTTGGCTCGCTCTCGAGGATTTCCTGGGTGGGGCTAAAACACCGATGGCAATGTTTAATGAACGGCAAACTGAGATTACAAATCGGACAACAATTATGCAAAGTCCGCGAAAGGCGAAACCCAAACGGCAATTAATTTAATGCGCCTCAATGGGCATTACGGGGCGGGGCGGGTCGGAATGACATCCGCAAATAGAAATAAAGCGAAGCGAATGCCCAACAGTTCATCAGCAGAAAATCGTTGAATAGTTTCGAGCACACAAACTGTAACTGAAACCGATGGCAAATGGATAAACAAAAGTTTGCCATCTGCCAAATGGACGAGGAATTTCGAAATTAAAGCAAAACAATGCCCAAAGATTAACAACAGATACTAGCTCACACACACATAACATTTTCTATTTTACGAGAGATAGAAACGATAGTTTTTCGCTTTCTTATACCCTGTTCATACCAATTAGCTGAGGCATGCCCAGACATACTTGTAATAAATGGTCAGCTTTAAGGAACTCACATTTAGGCACTACATCTTGTCAGATCTTGTTGGGCTTAATTCATCACATATACAAAAAACTTGGTAGAGTTTGCAAGTTGTTACAGAAAAACTTCTAGTCGGCTACTTATCTTTGGCTAACTTTTGCTGGTATTGTTTTCGTTTGTTTGTTTCCATGTGAAAGGCAGTGAAATAAAATGTACTATAAAACGTGGTCCAAACGTTGACCATGGCAATGCCGAGCAAATCGTCGGCGGCGTCAGCAACGATTACAACGCCAGCAAAAACAGCGCCAAACAACAAAAGCAATCTAAGGAAGTGTATCAGTATGGGGGTGTTATGAGTGTGTGTGTTTGTGTGTGCGACGGATTGTTGCATTAACGGAATTGAACGCCATGTCGGAAGCGAGGAAATGTTTGTGCTGTTTCAACGGAATTGTTATAAATATGTTCTCTGATTTGGGTTTTCCCTGTGTGTATGTTTGCTGCCATGCTGCAATATGCTTACGTATAAGTTCGGACAAGCAGCAGAATTGGTATGCATGTAAAAGTAAATAAAAGCTAAATTATTTGATATAATTTAGATTATATTATGAACTATACGATTTGATTTTAATTATAAGAGCGATAGCAAAATCTTTCATTATATCGTAAATATGCGGACTACCCTAAGGAAAATGTGCTTAAAGTGTCAATGCATTCAGTTTCCCAAATTTCTTAAATGGGTAACGTAGTTCAGTAATTTGAAATAATGCTTATTTTTTATTAAACATATTTGTCCCAATAGCACATAAGCAAACCTTACTTGCATTCTTGAAAATCGCATAGAAAGGCGATTTTTAAATTGTTAAGTTCACAACTGGAACAATCCACATTTGTGAACATACAAATAATAATATATGTAGAATAATAGTAATAAATTTATATATGTACTTACCCAAAAAAAAAACAGAACCACGTGCACGTTAATTTTTTGCCATTTCTTAGAAAAAGGGAAACAGACATCGCTGAAAGAACAAAGAAAACAGAAGGTGGGTTGGTAAAAGCAGGCAAAAGAAATAAAAGCAAAGAAAAATATTATCATAATATACGTACCTTCATAAATATCTGGTTACATACAAGCAAACCACAATTTTCCGCAGAATTTTGCTCTGGGCGAATTTATTAAATTTGGTTAAGCAGAAGATATCCTTTATTATACAATGTAAAGCTTTAAAAAACATCGGATGGCCTTGGGATGAATTTCCAAACATGTTATTAAGAGCAAAATGTTTTATACATATATATGTGCCAGCAGTCCGACCAGCATGTTATGCAAGCCCCAAGTTAATAGACATTAAATGCGTAGCCGGTAAATTGCATATTCAAAGCGTTCGTTCCACAAGAAGTATGAATAGTGTGAGTACCCGTACTCGATTACTCGTATCGGAGCCTGGTAACAGATGTTGTCTTGATTGCCAACTGTTTAGTACTGTTGGGAGTTGCAAGCGCTTCTTGCAACACTTGCCGCAGCGACAGCAACTTGAGCTGCCGCCCACTTACACGCACACACACACACAGAGACATGCTACACAACTATTCATTTGCAGGCCAGCCAGGGCATTAATATATCTGTGTGTGTGCTTGTACGTGTTTTGTTTGTTTGTTGGTGTAATAAGTGGAGGGCGGTGCAAATGGTTTTGAGGCGTGTTGCGTAAATGAATAAGCCCAGAGTCGAGCAGAGGCTAAGTCTCGCCCAGAGTTGGACGCGTGGCAGGCGGCGAGTGCACTTGCCATGTGCGAGTGAATGCCAACAGAATGTCGAGTGTGCTCGCCATGCATGCGTATGAGTAACGTTAACCGTTATGCGGCTGAGCGGGGCTTGTGTGTGCGTGCGTGTGTGTGATTGTGCGTTCTGTGGGTAGCATCAAGTGCACACTGTGCGGTATTCAAGAGTTTGATGTATTACAAAATATACGACACGCATACGCAACCACAGTTGCAATTACAATGCTAAGTGTTTTACCACTGTGCGAAAGCGAGAGAGAGAGAGAGAGAGAGAGAGAGAGAGAGAGAGAGAGAGAGAGAGAGAGAGAGAGAGAGTTTAACTAATGTTTGCCTATCTCACTCACACGTTCTGTTTGTTGTTATTTAATAATGCAAACATGTGCGCGACCCGCTGTTGTCTTTTGTTTTATTACATTAATAAACATAAAATTGGCATATTGTTTGCATATGTGAGGCCCACATACAACACACACACACACACACACGCTCGCTCACACATATATATAGACATAGTCAATGGCTGCTCGACTTCCGCTCTGCCCGCTGCCCCCTATTGAATTGCCGTAAGTGGCCATTTATTTACATATTTGCGTTGAACGGCGTCGCGTTTGCCAAGTGCTCTTCAACCTTGCAGTGCGCTTCTCGTTGTTGTTGTTGTTATTGCTGCCGTTTTATTGTTATTGTTTAGCCACAAGTTTGTATATTGTTGTTGTTATTGTTGTTGTAACTGGCGCTTTGCGTCATTTTGTGCAATTTATGAGTTTATTGAGAGTTTGTGGAAAATCTCACTACTGTGGCTGCCACTAATTGGCGCCATTCGTTAGCTCTTCAAGCGAATGTTTATTTAATGTTAGCAATTGTTTTATCTAGCTTTCGCTGTTGCTGTTTAACTATTCGCACTGGCAGTTGTAGCTGTTGCCGTGGCTTTAATTGCAGCTCAATTTGCATAAACTTGGCGCTGCGCGAATCTTGTTGCTCACCCTGCCTCGGCAACAGCTCCTGTGGCTCTTTTAATGGACGACGTGCGCCTAATTAACGTAGAACAGCAATGGAAATGTCGCTGTTCCAGCTTACTTCCCGCCCTCCCTCTGCTCTCTCATTCCATTTGTTGTGTTGTTTGCCATGTGTGCTAGTTTATGGCATTCTCTATGCCTGTTTGCCTTAAGATAACATTTACCATGGAAAGAGGGAGAGAGAGAGAGAACGAGGCGAGGCGAAAATCGCAGTTGTACAACGGTGCGTATGGTTAACTTTATTAGTGCAAATTATCTGGCAGTGGAAAATGTAAGGATGTGTGCAGCGAATAAGCGCATTATAGTCGCAAAAGGAATGGGTATATATATATAAATGTATATGTGTGTGTGTGTGTGTCTCTTTGCGTTGTCAACTTAATTCGCTTAATTTATGGACTGTTTATGCACTGTGCACCAGCTTATCCAAAATATGTATATCAAAATAAGAGATTATGCTGGTGCTTTGTCTGCCATGCAATCTACTTGCTTATTCAAACCGCAAACAACTTCTCTCATTCAACAAACGACTGTTATGATGAGCCAATGAGTAATTTGAATAACTCACTCAAGTACATTCATTCATTCGTGCATTCATTTATTCAGAATGCTCCTCAGACAAATGAAGTAGAATGGAACGAGCGAAAGAATTCCGGGTAACATTAAAAAATCATTTGCCAGCGATTCGTCCATTCATCTTTCTACTTTCTCCTTTGCTTGAATTCCTTTTGGCACTTTGGCCAAAGTTCTTAATCAAAATAACTTAATGATTATATTTGCTTTCACCCGCTCTCAGTTTCTAATTCAGTTTTTTTTTTTCCTTTGCAGGATTGCAGCAGCTGCGGCAATTTGAGCTGCTCTTGAGGCGCCTGGCAACGCGCTGCGAATAATTGAATCATAAACGGACAGCGACAGACGAACAAATCGGAGCCATTGCGGGCAATGTTAACAAAGCCAAGCGAATAATTGTTGCAGGGCGCCGCCAGGACGACGACAGGCAGAAGGCTGAGAAATGACAGCCGCGCTGCTTTAATTAAAGTTGCCGCGCGGAGGAGGCGCGTGGAGCCGAAGCTGCCAACAGACAGAGACTAAAAAGAGAGAGAGAGAGAGCGAAAGAGAGAGCGGGGGAGACATTGAAACGCAATGTGGCTGATGCCGCGGACTGTGCACAACAGAACAAAGTGGACGAAATTGCTTTTGGAACTGAAGAAACGTTTACCGGACGGCCGCATATAAACAGCGCGAGCAGACATTCATTTTGATTACATTTACCTTTTACACTGCGCCACAAGAACTGACACGCAACTGAAAAATTAGCCAAAAAAAATAAACAGAAAAGAAAGAAGAAGCAGCCAAGCAAAAGCCAACTACCAAATATCAACGAGCCAAGTTGAGCTCGCGTCTGCAGCTGAGCTGAGCTGTTGAATTTTATCGCATGAAATAGCCGCAAACAAGGGGCACTAGTTGTTGTGGGCGTGGCCAGTGCAGTGCAGTCAGTTTTGCATGCCTCAGGCATTGGAAGAAGGCATCGCGCCATTGCCGCCCATCAACAGCTACACATGAGCACGCCGCTGTGACAAGACGAGCTCGAGCAGGCGTGGAGGCACACCGGGCGCATTTTCGTTTCGTCAACTGCAAGCGGCAGCCAAGCGGAGTGTCAGCGTTAGGCCATCAACGCAACGTGGCAGTCCCGCAACGAAATTGGCTTCATCACCCCCCACAAAAACCCCGGACAACGTTGGCCCACATCAGCAGCAGCAGCATCAGCAGCTGCACAAGAAGAAGCAGCGACAGCAGCAGCTCCTCGTCATAGTCAGGCAGCAGTTGTCACTGCGGGGCAGAAAACGCATAAGCCATCTACAACTAGCCCACATTTCATCCCCCAGTCCCAATCTAGCCCGTAACCAGCAGCAGCAGCGATCCGATGAATCTGCTTTGCTGTTGTTGTTGCAGTAACATGGCACCAAACCAGCGCGTCACACGCAAATGGGAACTGTTCGCCGGACGCAATAAATTCTACTGCGATGGATTGCTAATGTCCGCACCGCACACGGGTGTCTTCTACTTGACGTGCATCCTGATTACTGGCACCAGTGCCCTCTTCTTTGCCTTCGAGTGAGTATTAGATGCGCATTCCCTACTCTCCACAACGGATTCCGAGTTTTAGTTGCCGTCAGTCGTTCGTCTCTCTCTTTCTAACACATTCTGTGTCCGTCCGCTTCTCATTTGCAACCGACTGCGGTTGCATTGTTTGCAAAATGAATACGTTGCTAATTAAGCACCGCCCGGCTGGCTTAGAATGCCGCACCAGCAGCCCTGACCCTGTCTACTCGTGCTCTGGTCTGCTTGGTTTCCAATTACGCCCACATTAATGGTCAGTGACTGTCGCTCCCGTCTGTTGCTACTATTTTGCAGGACGTATCCAATGGCATGTAATTATTGCTGTGCAACGTGGCGTATGCGTTATGCTTGGCCGGGCAAAGGATATTCGGACTTTAGAAAAGGGATTAAACTTTGCAGCTTTTTCGGCTTTGGTTTCTCTCCGTAGCTCATTTATTGGCCACAGTCGAGGGATTGCAATTGTGGCTTAGTTTAAAATTTGTCAATCTGTGGCACTTACCTAATCAAGATCAAACTTTTTCGACTTCTTTTTTAATTGGGTGTCTCGGTTGTAGTTTACAGCATATTTAATGATTATTTTGTGGGCTGAGATAAAATGATTGTATGGTATATTATGCAATTGAACTGTTGGGAATGACAACAATTTGTTAACTTTATGTCGAGTCGGGTGTTGTCTACATAATCAGCTCTGCTCTCGCCTGCGACTGAGGATTGTAGCACGTTTCTGTAGCACATATAAACATGCACCTAGTTGCTAAATAAATATTAGTCACTAAGCAAATAGAATATTATTGCTACCACAGTTGCGTTTAGCTTGATTCAACACACACATATATATTTAGTTATACACGGCGTATGCGTAATGCTTACACTGTGGTAGCCTGGCAAATAATGTATACGTCACGTAGCGCAAATACAAATGCACATGAAATTGTATTGGCAAACGGCGCAGGGCAGAGGGTGGTTTCTGTTCACAAATGGGGAATGGTACATAATGATGCGATATCCAACAGTGCGCGATTAGAAAAAAATTATGCTCAACATTTTCCGCACGAATTCGTTTGAATAGCGTCAAGGAAATTGCATGTATGTGTAGGTGTAAACACACACACGTACCAAACACAATGAAAAGAATTGGAGTACTTGCTTTTATTGTTGTTGTTGCCGCCTTAAACTTACAGACCAAATTTATGCGCTGCCGAAAAGCCAACGACAGCACGGCACCATATTTATACGCTACCAGAGGATATTTGAATTTTGTCACGAAATTGGAGATATTGGACATAAATCACATAAGTTCTAGATCAACGGAGGTGTTTATATATCCCAGCCCGACTATCTAGGCTGGTCTCTCAGTTCATAGATAGATAAATCCATCTTAGATATATGTTGCAGGCAATGCATAAATATTTACTAGGAGGAACTATCGAAAGAAAATAGACAGGATTTTTCAGGACACCTTAAAATGACTTTCACCAGTCCAAGCAAATTCATATCAGCATAGGATTACTATCTTATACATTTCTATCGCTTTAAAATATTGTTATTGTACACAAATATCACAGACAGAGCACAGCTGCTTAATGCAAGGGTATTTCAACTTCGGCAATCCGTAGGTGGGGTTTTTTTTTTTGGAACGGATTTTTATTTTCATTGCATGCCTGCCTTATATTAGCGCACAGTCGAGCTGGCAACGGCAACGGCAACGGTGGCAACCTATGGGCATAACAATATCTTCTATGCTTTTAAGTGTTGCTGCAATTGTTGTTGTCGTTGTTGTTGTTGCAAATGCTGTGGCAGTGTCTGTTCCCAGTGTTCCTGCTGCCTGCTCGTGCACCTGCATATGCATCTGCCCGTGGGCTATGGCCAAATTGTATTCCGTTCAACGCGTTCGCAATGCAAATCGCTAAAAGGTAGCATACACAATGCAATGCAGGCTTCCTTTTTATGTGCCATTGTCAGCGATTTGCCAGCTGAATGCGAGGGAAAACATTTTCTGAATGCTTTCCCGTTGCGGATATGTGTGTGTATGTGTGTGTGTGTGTGACTATGTGTGCTTATGGAAGGTGTGAGGTGGGAGGGTCGCTTCGCCATTGTCATGACAAATGTATTTAACTATTTTATTTTCGGTTAGTTTTGCTGACGCTCATACATTCGACTGGCCCCAAAATGCAGTTGCAATTCAAAGCTGAGCTCTGGGGCTTGTCACACATTATTTTCATTATGCTCAGGTCCCTTGCGGCGTGCGTGTGCGTGTGTGTGTGTGTGTGTGTGTGTGTGTGTGTGAACTGCTATTCACAAATCGGTGGCACGCATGGACAGCATTATGTTGCGATGCTGGGCAGCAACATCATTGTCGCAAAGCGTTCCACAACAATTCCCGCTGGTTTACACATGCTTCGTGCCACAGTTGACTTATTTTTGGCGCCAGGACGACGCTCAATGGAATTCCCTTGTTGCATATTTGTGCGGGCGAGCGGCATTTGGGGCATTGCCAAAACTCTCTCGAGTTATTTGCATGCATCTTTGAGCACAGCAAGCCGCCCCATACCACAAAAATTGGCTGTGCCACTTTAAGACAAGGCTTTAGTCGGAATATACATGCAAGTGAAGCCTAGAACTAGTTTTAATAAATGCCAATTTTAACTGGAACACACTCTTGCAAATATTCGTGTTATAGAAAAAGTGTTCCTTAACCCGTATTTATTATTGATTCCCATGACAACATGCCAATCAATCAGTCGTGTCCCAGTCTTTCTGCATTAACTTTTTCAATTTGCTGGTGTCTTTAGTTCGTATAGTCTTCGAGTTATGTTTTCGTTATATTGCAATTAAAGAAGATATCACAAACAAGGCTTGCCCTGCCTATGATATATATTTTAATTCCCTTCCTCTTATAATCTTGCATCGACTCAGCTGTAGACCCAATCAAGAATATCTGCTTACACTTAATAAGCGATGCATCCCTCTGCCTGTTAAATGTCTATACCCTTTTTTTTTTTAGCACAAATAATTAACTGTCTCTTGCAATATCTTGTTTATAGCTGCCCTTTCCTGGCCGAACGCATCAATCCAGTCATACCCATTGTGGGCGCCGTTTTATACTTCTTCACGATGAGCTCGCTGCTGCGCACAACCTTCACGGATCCTGGCGTTATACCGCGTGCCTCGAACGATGAGGCCGCCTATATTGAAAAGCAAATTGGTGAGTACTCCGCCCCTAGTCCTCGATTCCCTTGCTTGTCCACGCAAAAAAAGCGAATGTGGACAAGGTCGTTTTGCCTGTTGAATGGCTCATGACTTGCCACGCCCACAAACCAACAGACAAACAAAACACACACACACACGTGCATTTATTCATTTGTATATATTTGTTTTCACTTCATTAAGTTGGCGAGTGTGCGCGAGTGTGTGTGTGTGTGGCCCCACATAAAAAGTAATGAGCGTGTCCTGACACAGAGAGCGGCAAAAAAGAAAATATGCATGAAAATCATCAAAGCCAACGCTATGCTGCCTTTACCCTAATGAGTCGATGTTGTTGTTGTTGTTGTTGCTGGAAAATATTTTAAAACGCGAAAACTTTTTGCTTTTTTCTCACCCTTTTGCACTTGCATGTCAACAACGACTTTGTCGCTGTCGCTGTGGCTGCTGATGCTGCATTTCCGACGCCGTCGCAACGCGCACATCCATTTCCGCTTGCGCAGAAGTGCCAAACTCGCTGAACAGTCCCACATACCGGCCGCCGCCCCGCACCAAGGAGGTGCTCGTCAAGGGCCAGACTGTTAAGCTGAAGTACTGCTTCACCTGCAAGATCTTCAGACCGCCGCGCGCCTCGCACTGCAGTCTCTGCGATAATTGTGTGGACCGCTTCGATCATCACTGTCCCTGGGTAAGTAAAATTGAGCCCTGTCTGCCTGCGTGTGTGTGTGTGTGTGCCAAGCCGCCAATGTGGGCCAACGAAAAGAACTTTCACTTTTCGGCTATGCCCACCCGCCGGCGGCGCTGACTTTAACCCAATTCCTGCCCCAACTGCTGAGGTTGCTGAGAAAATAATTTCCACAGCGCGTGCCTTGACTGGAATGCTCTGCAAAGGCTGGCCGACCACAGCAGCTATGCCAAAGCCACTATCCACCCAAACAAATTCAAACAGTCGCCCCGTCGAGTACTACCCAATTTTGAGGGGGCGAGTGTTTTTTCTTTCTTCTTCTCTATTTTTCACTGTCGTGCAGGCGGCACAAAATGCGAATTCCCCGCGTGCGCCTAAAAGATGCAACAAGATGTGGCGGGTGGTGGACCGAACAAACAAACCGCTGCACACAAAGCACAAATACACACACACATGCACATATACACACTTTTATACTCATACTTAAGTAGCCGCACTCTGTGTATGTGTATGTGTGTGTGTGTGTGTGAGCGAGTGTGTTTAAGGGGCATGTTGCATTAAGTGCAACGCGCTTTTTCAGGCCACATTGGCGTCGTTGTTCTTATACCCTCTTAAATAAATAATTGGATGCCTATCTTCAAGTCATTTACTGCAGCTGCTTTGTTAGTTTTTTAATTAATCCTAGAATCTAATAGCTTTTAATATGGCCAGTCCGCAAATTGTGTGCATCCTTTCATTTAATCTTTACATTGGCTAAATGGCATTATCAGCCAAATGTTTGACAACAAGATAAGTAGCTTACATTTTTGACAAGCAGTTTCCATTAATAATGAATAGGCAAACGAAAATGATTAAACGTCATTTTAAAGTGGCTGTTAACTTTGTAATAACTTTTAACTCAGTTAGTTATCCCTCGGTTTATGTCCAGCACAAAAATTCAAATTTAAATTAAAGTATGTGGTAAAGAAGTATTTTGAACTGGAATCGGCTTGTAACCGAAATTTGAATTCTATTTTTCATTTTTTACTATGAGCCGCGCCTAAAACCAAATCTGTTGTCAAAAAAAAAAACTAAGCCGAAACCAGAACGAATCATTTAAAAAAAAAGCTTTTGAGGACTTAGCCCCAAAGCATAAACAAAACACCTTCATAACATTTCTACCATATTTGGTAGCTGCCAATTTTGGGTAATGTTCAAATCTAGCCCGATTCTTGTATATGAAAATGTCTAAAGCTTGCAATATTTTCAGTACAACGGGCGGTTGTAAATGAAAATTAAAATTGATTTATAGAAAATTAATTATTATTATTAACTATTATTAGTAAAAATATAAATAAGTTCATTAAAAAATTGAATAATTTATAACATACCTTGGCTTGAATAAAAACTAGAGTTCAAAGACGTGAAAAGCCAGCTTCATAAACCGAGCCTGAGGCAAGAAGTTCTTCGAAAGCGTCGTCCTATTAGAAACATATATTAACAATGTTAATAAAACTTTATAAAAATAAATTTAAGGCTAAAATGTAGGGTACCTGCAAGACGACTCCCTTTAGAGCTTACAGCATTCTCTCGCTGCTTTAGTTGGCACCACCCATCGCTGAAGAGTGGGTTTTGAATTTTTCATTTGCTGGCGCTGCGGCGAACGCGTTTCGCTCGTTCGGATGACCCGACCCAGCCCAGCCCAGCCCACGCCGCGCCGTTGGCTTCATTATGAGCATGTTGGAGCTGCTGTCAGCGCTGAAGGTCGCCTCGTGCCTGGTGCCATTTGGGCCTTAAAGCAGCGAGTGGTGTTGCTTGAAATTGAGGCATTTCTCGGCGGTGCACAGCGCGTAATTTCATTTTGGGCGCTAATTATATCGCACGGCCCATTAAGGGCGTGCGGCGTGCGGCCTGGGCCGCTGAAAGGGCAATTAACCTTATTGTGTGAATGCGCATTATGCAGAATTTAAAAAGAGAAATTATCAATTAAAAAAAAAATTTGTCTCTTTGCAGGTGGGAAATTGCGTTGGCAAGCGAAATTATCGGTTCTTTTATTTGTTTCTAGTCTCACTGGCATTTTTAGCCGTATTTATATTCTCGTGCTCTGTGACGCATTTAGTTTTATGTGAGTATACTGCATAATATATATATATATAATAAACCGATTAATCCATTTATATATATATATGTAAAGTGATGAAAACGGAACCGGAGGTCTTCGTAGTAATAAAGAAGGCGCCCTTCACTGTGATTGTTGTGTTCATTTGTTTCTTCTCCATTTGGTCGGTGATTGGACTGGCTGGCTTTCACACATATCTGACCACCAGCGATCAGACAACGAATGAGGATGTAAGTGCTAGCTCCATCAATCCCAATACCCTATCCCTAATAAACTCCTTCCGTCGCTTGCAGCTCAAGGGCTCATTCTCCTCCAAGGGCGGGCCGCGCACTCAAAATCCCTATTCACGCGGCAACATTTGCCTCAACTGCTGCCATATTCTGTGCGGCCCCATGACACCCTCGCTGATTGACAGGTAAATTAATGTCTTGGCAAATTTGCATCATTTGCTAACCACACTCACACACACGCACACACACACAGGCGCGGCGTTGCCACGGATGAGTACATACAGCAGATGCATCATTCCAGTCCGCGTCATGCGCTAAGCGATGTCATCAGCGCCTCGCAAATGGTCACCACAGCGCAGCCCATGCTGGGCAACGTGGCGGGCATTGCCGGTGCCGGCGGCGGCGTAAGCATTGGTGCTGTCGGTGCTGAGCTAAAGCCGCGCTTCTACGATGAGGTAAGTGGCCAAAGCTGCACAGCAATACGAGCACGTCCATTAACTCCATCCAAGTCTAAATCTAAAACTAAATCTAAATGTCTCGGCACCTGTGCTTGCTTATCAATTATCAAAACTCAATCTCTCCTCTCTCTCTCTCGTACGATGAACTTCTGTGCACCTCATATTTGACGCTCTGTTCTTTCCACATCTTCTTTTTTTGGTTTTTTGATCGATATTCATTCTCGTTAAATATATATATCTATATATAAACACCAATATACAACAACAACAACAACTACAATCAACCACATCATCAATCACATAATAACACCGACAACAATCAGTCGAATCCCTCCTCTTCGACGTTGGAGAGCAATGGGGTAGCCGCCGCATCTGGTGGTGGTGGTGCAGTCAACGGCCATGGACATGGCCTCGGGAATGGCTTTGATCGTCCGCCCAGCTACGATATGCTCCAAAACGGTAAGTCCAAGTCGCGCAGGCAGCAGCATCAACGCTGCTCGCTCCAGACACTGCTGCCCGCCAGCGCACAGCACCAGTTTAAAGCCAACAAACACAAACAACTCAAACACCAAACACACAACCATCAAAGCCAACAACACACACACACACATCCACACCAACAACAACCACATCAAAAGCAACAGCTTTTGGCCGCCGAACTGCAGCTACATCTGCAGCAGGAGGCACTCGCCAGCGGATTGGCCACGCCATCTTCTGCGCAGCGCTCGCCGGCCTCCTCCTCGTACCGGCTGAATCTGAAGCGGTCGCTGCATCTGCCGCTGACGCCGTCGTACGATGCACGCAACTCGCCGCTGCCCCTGTTGCATCATCATGTTCACGCACAGCAGACGACGGCCATTGGCAGCGTGTCGGCGGCGGCGAGCGGTGGCAACGGCGGCTCTTCATCGTCGACGACAACAGCGCCCACCTCCGCCTCGTTGGCAACGGCGCCGGCGCTGGCACCACGGCGACCCTCGACACTGCAGTTACAGGCCAGCGCCGCGATCTCGGCCAGCAACAGCACGGTGACCATGATACAGACATCGGCGCCGCAGCCGCCGGCGCCCAGCGACTACAAGTACTTCTCCCCGCAGCGCGTTAGCAATTATCCATTTCCGAAGCAGGCGCGCAGCATGCGCCGCCAATCCACACAGTCGGTGGACTCGCAAAAGGTTAATATTGCCGGCTATCATCCGCTGCCGATGCGTACGCGCTACAAGCACCAGGAGGTGATGTTCGAACTGAAGTCACCGACCAATCGGCTGACCATTCGTGAGTGCGACTTTGGCGGTGGCGGCGAACCCTGCGACGACGATCAGTCGATCAAGGACAGCCAGATCTTTCGTGTTAGTAAACGAAATCTTTATATGAATCACCGATCGCCATGGAAGGAGCGCGATCGATACTCGAACCTGTACGAGTACTCGTTCAACATTGATCTCAATTCGATTATCGAGGATGCCGCGGGCAGCGACTCGTCCTAGTACGCAGCTCCTCGAATCTCCCAAGCAAACACTGCCGCTGGCTGTGACCGCCATTTGGTTGCAGTCGACACTGACTACATTGATTGGTTGTTAAACGCTGTACGCTCTAAGGGATGTCCCCGTGCTGGGCTCTTGGCAGTATGCCTCCGATTCCTACTGCTGCCAGGCTCCGGCTAGGTATGCTGTTCGGGCAAAAGCAATTCACAATAGTTAGACCGTAACGCACGGATTTTGCAAGAAAAAACCAAAAAAAAAATTAAAATTAATATAAAACAAAGAGTTTTTCAAATCGAAAAATTTGCTATATAGTCTGATGACATGCATATACGTATATATGTGTATAACTTTTTGGTTAATACCCAACACTGGCTTTGTCAATTTCACAATTGGCTTCCGCGACGCGCTTTTTATAGGGTATTTGATTTACGGTAGTTCTAGTTGGAATTGAATTTTTATTTTGCACGCGTAGTTGCAGCTCAGATGTCGCGTTTCTGTTTTTTTCTAAAATTTTGGACACCCAGCAACCAACCCCTGCCCCCTGGTAGAACCCGACCCAGACCTAAACCCGCAAAATAAAAAAAAAAAACGAATAGAATAAAAAAAACTTGGTTCATACAAACTTTTGCGTTTATGTAGCACCTATATATCATAGGCGAGCCACGCTGGAGCACCGCATTCGCACCCGCAACAGCGGAGCGCCAGTGTGGCCATATATTTTCAGTTGTCGCAGCAATTAACACTGACACACACACACACACACAGACACACACACACAGACACACACACACAGACAGACACATACACACTTAAATGTTGAAAGTCCATATCCCGACGCCGCCACCTCCAATAGTAAATAAATTATACCAAAACCAAAACGAAAACGAAAACGAAAAACTATTTAAGAGCAATGCATTTTAAAGACACTTGCATGTTGAACTCGGTTCGTAGTTGATTGAGATTTTTATTTATTAAATATATATATACAGATATATTTATATACATCTGTAAAAAGAATTGTGGCAGTCACTTGTGCAATTTAGTTGATATTTATTTTTTAAGGTTTCAACTAAATGAAGTCGAAGAAAACGCAATTAAAACTTAGCAAACAATTTATAAAAATAGCCAAACAACTGCCATTTATTGAGAAAACCACGTTCTGTTCAAAATGTATGTTCAGTTGTATTAACAACAAAAACAAAATAAATATACTTGTAAAAGCAATTTGGAAAATCAATTAGAATTTGATATGTGTAGTGTTGTATAACAATTTTAATAGATCTGTAATTTTAAAAGCAATTAACAAAACTCTAGTCGAAACCAACTAAATGATGCATTAATGCCAAATGCATGCAATAATATTGGATAATTATTAGGTTTAACAAATTGCCAAGTGACTGCAAATATGTCATTAAAACATATATGTTAAAACTGAGAGACAAATATTTATACATCAACTAGTTATAAATGTTAAAGAGAGAGAGAGAGCACGAACTCTGGCCTATAGGACGAAACAGCATGGAATTACTTAGATTCGAGCTGCTTTTGTTTATGGCCAGCGGGGGTTGCTCGGATTTTAAGTGAACAACAAAAATTCAATAGAACAATAAGTCAGCTTACTGTAAAACGGACGGCGCACTAGCAGCTCGTGCCCAGTCTTTAAGGCTATTAATGTTACGCATTAACAATATATTATATATATTATATATACATAAATGAGTTCCTTTTAGCAATGGAAGAGTTATAAAAATGTATACATATGTATGTTGAAAATGTTCAGATCATGCGTGTTGAATAATACATATAGTATATATACATATACATATATACTTACGTATGTGCTAATGTATGTTATAATAAACTGCTGATACACATACACACACACACACATACAAACATAAATATATAATTATACTTAAATGTTGGGCAATAAAATGTACTCTAGCGTATCTATGAAAACAATTGAAATGTTAAGGAATTACAAAACAAACACACACACACACACACACACACCCATATACAAACAACTACTATCTATGTATACACTTAGCGGTGAGATAAACTTTGTGTGCGCACTGTGCAAACTTCATTGCAAACGTTTTTAACGTCAGAAAGAAGGCTTGGAATCAAAATCAGCCAAAATAATAATAATATCAAAGGCGTGAATGTGGCTAACAAATGTTTGTTAATGAATCCGGAAACTGAAATCGGTTTTCCCCTTAAACCAGCCTTCCAAAGCGAGAATCTGGCGAGTTCACAGCATTTATTTAACAGGACCAAACAGAAAGCCTTTGTAATACCTTGAAAAGTTCAATCGTCACGCTTTCACATTTCCGAGACGGAAGATAGAAAAGCGATAGAGGAGAGCAAGCCTACAACTTTTATTTAACTGGATGCACGTTTATATTTATATGAGAAGAATGTTGCGAGAGTGAAGATCAAGTATACACACACAAGACAACACACACACACACACGTACACTTACACACAATCAAACACTCAGCCACATGCACACATTGTGGCAAACTGTAATGCACAGTGGCTAATCACAGGGGACGCCATTTTGTAAAGTTCTTCGCGCTTCTTCTTCCTTCCACTTCGCTGCCAATCGCCGCCATGTTTGAGTTTCCATTTAGCGTGATATCATTTCGCATGAATTCAAATTGCCGGCGCGCCGTACACAAGCAGACGCACTTACCTTATTCTATTCTACCCGAGTACCCGAAATACCGAACAATAGTTTGCAAATACATGATTTTCTCTTGGTTATGCACATACACACACCCATACACTAATGCCAAACTCTTTTTTATGTCTTTCAATACAACTTGTGACTCTACGGGAAAAAACAAAAAAAAAAAAAAAAAACAAAAAAATCGAACCATAAAACTTTTTGTGTCTTGATATTTATCAACTCAAAAATAATAACAAATTGCAAACAAATCAAAATTGCAACTAAAACTAAATGCAATTGAGTGAAAGCTTTCCAGGGCCGCTTAATACTAGAGTAAAACATAAATGCCTCATGCTATATGCCTCAATTGGGTGAGTTGCCTCCACAACACAAAAGTAATAAATAAAAAAACAAATAAAAATAAAATAAAATACAAAAAACCCTTTTTCTGTTGTACTTATGTAATGGTAAAAAATATAAAATTCAATTAACAACGCTTACGACACTTATTTCAAAAGCAAAGATTTTGCTATATTTCCGATCTTTGCCTCTTTTTCATTTTGTGTAGCGCAATTAGCTAAAGATACTTGTAAACAAAAAGCGTTCGAATACCCTGTACAAACTATAATTTTCAAGCTGTCTTTTTGTTGCTTAGCCTTTTCTTCTTTTACAAAATGCCCCAATTCACAAGAATTGTTTATGATTTGGTTTAAAAACAAAACGAAACAAAAGAAAACAATCCAAGCCCAACAACATTGCGCATATCGTAAAGACAGACCTCTACACAGATCTCGACTCCCAGCGATTTTTCATCGTACATTCTTTAGCAATCAATTTTTAATTTTCTATGTGTGTATTTTAAATATTGGCATATTGAAATTTCTATAACTAATTGTATACACAAAATTGTTGAAGCATGTTTTGGAATTGTTTCATCTATTTCAATTGGCACCGCATACAAAATTCATATTGGTTACAAAAACAAAACAACAAAAAATACAAAATAAACACAAATCATAGCTCATCAATTTATACCCTATCATTATTGCCATTGGCTATTTATTAATTTAAGCGATTATCAAATTGAATTATGTATTCTTAATTATGTTAATACCCAGGTGGCCAACAAGGATTCCACTTCGCCGGGTTCATCCGTTTAACTTCCATATAATTTAATTTGTTTGAGTTGTTTTGTGCATTGGTTATAGACTGTTTAATTTTTAATTCGCCGCCTTTTCAGCATTTACAATTGTTTGCATATTTAAATAGTTTGTAAAACCAGCAGATAACCACCACAAAAAAAAAAAAACGAACCACAAACCACGCCCACAGTGTACACTAGCGAAAACTATTCCAAAAATTACAATACGAATTTTTAATTAGTTGTCGAATTTGCTGTAATGATAGTTTTAACATTTTAAATGTTTCACATTAATTATGTATGCAATTTTTATATATATATCAGAAAAACGAAAAACAAAAGATGAAAGCAAGAATAATTTTGCACTAATCGTGCGCCCACGCGCAACGTTTCAATATCTCGTTCGCAGGTAATTCCAATAGTCTAGCCCAACTCGTTGACAACGAGATACCTTTGGCCCAGATGGACATGCCAGCCTATACACAGCCGACGGCCACACAGACGCGTCAGTTCCGGCACCACAAGCAGCGGCAGCTGTCCAATGGCGCCTCAGCAGTCGCTGATTTGGCCTATGAGAATCAACTGGCCGCAGCCGGCAGCGAGGATGAGCTGGACAATGCGGATGTCGTTGTGGTCGGCGGCACGGAGGTTGTTGCTGCGGTGGCAGCCATTGCGGCCTCCAGCAAGGCGCGTGAGATGCGCAACCGCAATCGCAGTGGCAGTTACAGCAATCTGTTCGACGTCGACTTCGACGCGGCGCTGGTCAACTCGCCTCTGGGCGACAACCACAAGGCCTCTGCGGGCGCCGCTCTACTAGCGGCTGCCATGAGCGGGGACCAGCACGCGCTGGCCAAGTCCGTCTCACAGACAGAGAACATGTACAGCAATGTGCCCCAAGTGGCGGTCTCGCCGTCCACAGATGCCGCCCTGCACGTCTATTCGAACATCATCGACGAACAAGCTCAGCAGCAGCAGCAGCAGCGGCAACAACTACAGCACAGCGAACAGCTCCAGGCGACCGCTGTGCTATCCTCGACGCTGCTCAGTGACGATCTCGACCTGGACGATCCAGTGAGCGCTTCGTTTGTGGGCGGCGGTGGCGTCCACGGCCATGGGCATGGCCAGCGCATGTCAGCAGGCGACGGCGCCGAGCAGGCCAAGTCCGCGGATAGGCTGCGCATGCTGCACGACACAACAATGATTGACACTGCGCTCGATCTGGACAGCTTGGACGGCTCGAGCATGGGCAACAGCTCGCAATCGTGCTTGGTGAAGACAGCCAAGGCGACATCCAATTCCAATGGCGTGGCCATTGTCTAAGCTCAGCTGCAGTCATTAGACGGCGTATACCCTGTAAATAGCCAAGTAATTGTAATTGTGCTTCAGCTTTTTAATTAGGCGACCCAAGGCGATCTGGCAGCAGGAGAGAGTATTATTAAGCCTAATACTTGATCGGTTCTTGTGTTTTTCTGTAATTTTAACTTTAGGTTTGATGTGCGCACACTTTAAATATCAACCTATCAAGAAGCAACTAAAATATTACCTTAAGGCGTTACGCATTCATAAATATATAAATAAACAGTTAATGAAATAAACAATTAAAGCAAACAAGTACATTAACATTATACAAAACGAAAGAAAACAAAAAATGGTGAACAATGTTAACAATTCAAATGCATTAAAAATGAATGAATAAATCCATACTATATTATTAACTGAAACTGTTTATACACAACACACGCGCATTCATGTAAAGCAAACGTATATACATATAGACATATATATATATATATATATATACACATACGTTGTATATGGTTAGTTATAGCATATATAATTTTTGTATATTTAAGTTTTTACAAATGGCAACGACGAGCGTATTTTCCGTTCTACAGAGTTTATTACGATTTTCTGTAATAGCAAAAACAAAATACAAATACAAACGGAAAATTCCATGCAATATCTTTGTATGTAAATCATGTTAAAAATAAATATATTTAATATTATTAAAAAAAAACAGATTAAGTACACCACAAGAAATGTTAACAGCATGCGAGACAAAGAACAGTGTAACGTATTTAATGTTTATTTACATAATATAATATACTATACCATGTATTTCAAATCAAGAGTATGTGCGTGGTGTACAATGTTATCTGAACATATAAATCGAGGTATAGAATATGACAACATGTTAAAAGAAGAGTATGTTATGCAAAACTAACGAACTACAATTATACAAAGAATACAATTTATAAATAGAAAACATGAAAATTCCTCGACTTTCTATCGGGTATTCGGGCAAAAGCTTTGTGGCTTACCAAAAGTGATTTAAAAAATCGCAAAATAGAATCCATCTAGAGAAAAAGCCACAAACTAAGTGGCTTATTTAAGCTGATTCACTAATTTCTTCATGATTTATTCATATATAAGTAAATTGACTACACCAAGGTCTATTCCCGGTTCTAGCTCAGAATTCCACTTTGTTTTTTACAGTGAACCTTACCCTAAGCAAGCCATAAAAAAAAGTTGTTTGGTTAAACATATTATACACCCTTGATCCCATTCATTGCATATTAACATATTTGCTGCGAAAAATTGTGGACAGGAATCAAATTTGGCCCTAATCTTGTACAAGTAAACATATACTGCTTGCAATATTTAACCACGGGCAATTGTAAATCCTTATTAAATTATTTCAAAAAAGTTTTAAAAATTCATGACAAACCAAAGCGGGCAGCCGGTTCGAACCGCGAAACGAACCATCCACCATTTTTTTGGGCATGAAGCGGTGATTTCTATATATTTGATTTTTAGATTTTATTATTAAAAAATTAGAAGACATATTACATGGATATTATTGATCGGTTGATACATAAACAAATATGCATATGCCTTTAATGGTATAAAGTGTGCAATTTCGCGTGAAGACTTTCTCAAGTACATTACAAAAATATTTGTACATTTGCTGTCTTTTCGTAAAATTACAATGTATTGTGTCTGCAGCATTGGAAAATGAATTTCTACATTTATATTTAATTGTTATACCAGTCAATTCTCAAAAAGAAACAAACTGAACTTGAATTTAGGATGACATTGCAGGATTTCATTTATCTTCGAAGCACAACAATTTTTCGAACAAATATTTACATAAATATTAAGATTCAATATTCGGTATTAGAAGCTGCCAAACATATGTGTTCCGATCGTGAATTTACATAACTAACATATTTACTAGATTATTCGGATTTAAATCAGCAAATCATGTATGCTGGCTTACAATTTTGAGAAAATTAATGGTAAACTTTAAATCATAATCAAGTTACCAATAAAGTGCATGGAGCTTGAGCAGTTAAGCAAGGATTAGCATAAGATTAGAGTTAAGCCCTTGCATTCCCTATGACCGTGAAATACAAGTGTTATTATTACAATTAAATAAAAAGGCAAAACACTCGCTTAAATTAAACACTCCTCCTCCCTCCATATGTATATCTGTGTCACGGTATGCATGGCAGCAGTTGCAGTTGCAGTAACTTATCGCCGGTAACGGCCCAAATACGCCTTGCAATTGGGGCACGTGTGATGCACATCCATGCAGTCGTCAATGCAACAAGGTATCAAGCAGCAGCCCAGCCAGCAACTGTAATTAACAAGGGTTCTCAGTTAGAAACAGTCAGCCATATATTAGTGAATGCCATTCGCACTTACCCAAGCAATGCAATTACAAAACCGGACAAATAGGCAATCATGCCCGGCTCCGTGCGTGTCGTCGACTCAATCTCTGCATGACACGAGGGGCATATCATGTGCGTCGAGGTGCGACCAATGGGTACCACTGTGGTCAATATGTTTGTCCCAACGGTTGCAGGCGCTGCAACTGGCGTATATGGACCAACTGGCTTCACCCCGCCAACTGCCTCCAAATATGACGGCGGTGCCGATGGCGGTGGAACGTATGTGAATGGTGGCGCATTGCCCGTGGATTTGCTCATGTTGTTAAGCGCTAAATAATTCTAAAAATGCACGTGATTAAAAGAGCTACAAGAATAACAAATTAATTAGCAATTTACAATAAACAATTAGCAGCCTGCAAAACCCCCAAACTGACTAGAGATTAGCTAAAAATAGTATATCCCATGTAGATGATTCATGCCACGGGCCAGAGAGCTAGGACCACCCACATTTATGGGCGCGCATTTCAAAATTATGTACACAAAACATCAACAGAGAGGAAGGCCAATATTTTGTACTCAAAGCTCACAGCTCGATAAATTGGCATAGTTTCAGAGCAGGCATAGACAACTGATGGATATGCTCTAGAGCAAGGCATGAGGTAGAATTCTCTATGTGATTTGTAAAGCAATTGAAGCTATATTTTTTTAAAAATGCAACAGACTGAAACTTGTCAAGTGAGCCTTGAAAGTATAAGGGTACATAAAGAACCATTATGTTCTAATTGAACGCTTTTCATTGGGCTTTAAGCAATTCATGTGACAATTTTAATTGAAATTTCCATTGACGGCACACAATGTATATAAAATATATATATATATATATATGTACATGCATCTATATACATGCCCATATGATGTGTTTGTTAATTTGTTTGTTTTGCTGACACGCGGCTACATCAATTAGCCACATCGTCAAGTATTGTTTACTTGTTGCGCTGATAAGAAACGTAAACGTACACACAATTCAGTAAAAAAATCATATTGCATATTGATAATTACGTATATGTGCCTGGCCTGTGGGTAATCAATATAAACGCCAAAATCTGATGGGAAGTTGACAACAAAAGCAACCACATTGAGCAGTTCCATTGGCAAACAGAGCTGCGGGAATGCAGCTTTCCCCAACCCAAACAGGCTTACGACAGCGGACTGGCAGCAAGTGGGCGCACAGAAACCGAACAGCAACCGCAACCGGAAGTATTGTGATCTGGGGCTTAGCAGAATCACATCAACCGGGCGCGCAATCAAAATGGAAATTCCATCAACTGTCAGATGATTAAAGGGTATTTAAGCAATCAGCACGGCCCGGGCAAGTACAAAATGAGCCCACATCAGCTCCAAAGCTTGTTCAATTCATTAGAATGTGCTAATGTCATTAGGCGAAGACGCAATTTCGCAATTTGAGTTTTGTTAGGCTTGACTTTGCTTATTTATTCTTTTGTTATTGACTCTAAATTAACCCATAATTACGACAAAGGCCAGCCAATATAATTCTATTTATAGCAGAAGTTTCTAACAAACATTTATTGCCCCCATTTCGCAACTGTGACGTCATTAAGAAAATAGCTAAAATTTAATCTGTTTCCGCTTGAACTCTGAAAATAGCCACATTTAGCTTGAAACTAGCCGAGTTGGCAACACTGGCAGTAGAAGAAGAGGACACATACATAAGTAAGGGACACATACATCATACAAACACTTTTATGCAAAAATAACAATTGAAGCTCTTTAATTAAAACTGCCTGCGTCATCCAAGCGAAGTTTGAGTAAGCGAAATAATCCTGAAGTTTCCCAAATGAAATTCTGATGCATACAATTACACATGGCGTGCAATTGTGCAATAAAAGTTTACCTATATATATATATATATATATAAATGTATGTGTGTATGTTAGATTGTATGTATATAACCATGGGAATAACTAATTCTCTAGTTGTCGGTTTTATCCCATGATGACAGCTACACGCAAATTAAGTTAAGAGCACATTACAAGCAAAGCTTTTGATCTCCTTTCAAGTTATAAATTTATATAAATAATAACAGTAATAAATCTATCTAAATATTTCATTTAAGAAACAGAAATATCGGGCATTGAGGGCAGAGTAAAGCGCTTGATTTAAACAGATGTTGCGACTGCCTCAAAGATGACGTAGTCGTGCTATAATCGGAGAGTATAGCAAGAGTATATGTATATGTATGTGAATATAGGTGTGTTTATGCTGTTGTGCAGCAAACATATTTTTAGCAATACATACGAAACAGGTGTATACATCAGAAATATCTAGATATGATGTAATTTTGGAAACTGTCTATGCCTATATTGTTATGCCTATATTGTTAAGTAAACTTGCAGCGAATTTCACTTTTTGCAGTGAAAAGTTAAAATTATACACATGTACATATGTATGTACATACACTAGCATCAAGCATTGCGAATGTGTTGGTAACGCTGCCACTTTTATTACGAGACGAAAATTAAAAACGAAATCATAATAAATAAACGAACAGTTCCCTCAATAAAACGGTACCGAAATAGAAAATAAAACACACACTCTACTTTACGCGTATCTATAGAGTCCAGCACAAGAAAAAAGTTCTACACAAGTATTTGTTTAAACATACGCATATACAAATACCATACACATGCATGTAAATAGGCATATGTATATTATATATGAATATTCACACAATTCATTTCGTACTGGCGGGAAGTTATTGAACACTCGCGACCTTCATATCGAGACTACTTGCCCTCATTACAATAGTTATATATATACATTTTTTAGTTTACGCAAATTTTCATTAGGTTTACCTTAATAATTTATTAAACCGAGCAAACTTTCGCACAACACGACGACGGCAGCACGCTAACTAGTGATGCAAAATATGCTCACACCAATCGACAGCTCGAAATATCGATATAAAAGGGTCAGGGTTGCATCAACGCCGATAATTTGGCGGAAATTTGTGGTCCATATTTAATTAGATTATCTTTCGTGTGTAAAATCTTATATATTAATTTTTTATATACATAAACCGCATTGCTTTATGTCTATAAGACGGCACACAAGATAACTAACCGTATTCTTTTAAATGCAGATGTAGATGCACCAAATAGAAACGTCTCGCATCCTCTAAGTAAGCCCGATAACAAACAAGTTTTGGTACTGTGGCAATCCTGCACATCTGTTTTTGTTATTGCAATTTTTATGGAATTGGAACAAATGTTTTTGTCGGGTCCATGTCATGTAAACACACGCCCGATATTAAGGAGCTGCTGCCGGTGCGCCAGTATCGCTGCGAACATTGCAGCGATCAGGTATTTGGCAATCAAAGTCACTATTACCTGCACCTGCGACGTCGACACAAGTTGACAGCTATAAAGAACGATATGGCCATATCAGCGTATCACTGTCCAGTGGAGAAATGTATTTATCATGCTCGGTGTGAGGGCGGCCGCGGCTTTGCGAATCTCCGATTCCTGCGGCAACACTACCAAAAAATCCACATGGCCAAGGAGTTTAAATGCACCGAATGTAACGAAACATTTTTACTCGCGCGACATTTAGAGAAGCATCAGTGCTGTTCGGTTTACCAATGCCCCGCATGCGAGCTCACATACACAAGCAAGGCGAGTCTCCAGACTCATATGCGTCGCAAGAACCACCTGGACACATCCAGCAGTAGTGATGTGACCAAGGAAGTGCCATCGTTGTCGTCAAAACTGGCAATACCTTCTTTGAAGTCATGGAAAAAGTTGCAGAAAAACTTGTCTAACGAGGAAAATCAATCCGCAAGCACAGGGGAAACGCTTAGCGATACTACTATAAATCTACCCGCCGTGGAACATATACCCCCAATGGACTCGCCTATGCAACCATCGTACTATTGCTTGCCAGAAATTGAGGTCCCATATGCCCTACAAACATCAACGCAGACTGAGGATAGCGTCGACATGGACGTTGCAATACAAACAGCAATAGATGTAGCTTTGAAAGAGCGTGCCAACGCCGCGAATGAGTTGTCTATGCCAAATTTTACAGTTGAGGAGGTCGAGCTACTTTTGCGCGACATGGAAACTCAAACCGACGATGTGGACCTTGATGGGATCGACATGAATAATGAAGTTCTGGTGCCCCTTATACGAAACATACAAACCCAAACGCTCGACAATAGGCAACACCAGGGCACAATGACGGAGCTTGACCTGGAGACGGAGACAGAGGCGCAACAAGAGGTAGGAAGTGCAACAAATCAAAACTATGCCGCTTACCAGGAACAGGAAACGATGTACGGGCCACAAAACTCGGCTCACATGCACACCCAGACTTGCGATGAGCTGTTCGAGGAACTCGGCCTGTCGCATATACAAACCCAAACGCATTGGCCCGATGGCCTTTACAATACGCAGCACACCCAAACTTGCGATGAAATAATGCTGGACGAGTTGCTGGAGAACTTTCAGTCTACTTGTACGCAAACCAGGTGGCTGGATTGGCAGGAAACCAATGGAACTGCCGACTGAGCACATTAATAAAATACAGATTTCTAATATATGAATCTTAACAAACTTTACCTGGTTTATGGTTCTCTTTCAGACTTATTTCACATTAATTGTATACAAAATAATAGCAGACATTTATCCAGTCTTATACATCAATTTTTGTGCAAGTATGTCATCTGTTATTAGTTTAGGTTGTTTTTAGCTTGTCCTTGCTGGTTCTGGTCAGCAGCAGTTCCGAGCATTGGAAGAAGCAGTAGCTGCAAAAGCTTAGCGCCAAATAGTTGCCCACTCCACTTAAGTAGGCGCCGCGCATCAGGAAACCTCCGATTTCCTGTCCGGCTATAAAGTACACATTGGAGAAGGCGGCGGGTATGAAGAGCTGTGTGGCCAGCAGCGCATGCAAACGTTGCGCGCCGGCAGAGCCAAAGTGCTGAAGCGACCACTTTTGAAATGCGGGCTTTGACACGAATGTCTTGTAGATCTTCTCCGCTGCCAGGCACACAAAATTGAGCACACTCCAGATGAGCACATAGGTGTAGCAGCCATGCCAAATGAACACAAATGCAAAGGTTAGCGCAGTGGCGCAGAGCTTGGCTGCTGCGGACGACTTTCTGCCGCACAGTTCGGCGTAAATGTGTTTAAAGAGGAACTCGTAGAGCCCCTCGTCAAAATACTTCCACATGTCCGAGTAGAAGTGAATGCGCCCGATGCAGCGGGGACGCTTTGGTGCCGCTATGCCGTCGTGCTCGGCAAAGGCAATGCCAAGTCCATACGTGATCACGTAGAATATAAAAAAGAACTGACCCATGAAATAGCCTGCAGCATGCTGCCAGAAAACCGACTCCATCATGGCTACCGCACGCACATCCCGCGTCATGTAGTGTATGTAGAAGTAGTGCAGGGCCCACTGCATTATCAGCCACCAAAAGGCGACACGCAGCAGGGCCACCAAAAATCTCCAACACTGCTGTGCGGATGACACTTCTCCAGCCGTGGATTGTTTGTTGAAGCGCTCATAGCTAATGAACGGTCCATAGGTGAGGCAGGGAAAGTACATGGTGTAGGCCAGGTAGTCAGGAATATTGCCGGTGCCAGTGCCCGTAAACGAGTAGCTGCAGCCGCGCAATAAGCTCCAGGAGAGGGTAACTATCAGTACGGCATACTCTGCATAGCCGACCGTGTCCAGCCACCATTGGCTGTTTTTCGCCACGTTGATGACCACGATCCAGGCAGCAGTCAGCAACCAGGTCAAAAGCTTTGACCGTCCCAGTTGCGCCACAAGATAATAGCTGAACAGCAGAGTGGCGAACATTGCCACCGATGTCCAGTGCATGTTAAGACCGATCGCCAGTGTGCATACTGCAACATGTCCATGACGACGCAGGCTCGGCCACTTCCATTGCGAGATGACACTCACGAGCGCATGCAACAGGTAGTACGGCCAGTATTTTGCAATAAAATCAGCAAAGTACTCCAATTCGTCATTGCTGTCGTCGCGCACCCTAACGCCGTCAGGCCGTTGCAGCAGGCTCCAGCCCTCGGCGAACTGAAACTCCGTCGAGCTTAGGATGCGATCTCGTAGCGCATAGATCTTATATAGTCCAATAACAATATAAACGATATATACACAAAAGTAGACAAGGATTTCGTATCGGTTTAATAAGCCGGCAGTCATTGCGGTATCGATAACAACGCACTGGTATCGATAGCGATGGGAGCGTGTCGTGTTCAAATCTTAAATTGTACTCATGGTGATTTCACCACGACTCCAGTTTAATTAAAAGCCGTTTGGGTTTTAAAGGCTACGGGCAGAGTATGGTCAATCTATAAGATAGATTATGTAAACAATTTTAATGACAAATGTAACTTATTGCTATTTAAAATTCTACAGGGATTCAATCGCAAGATGAAAACTATGTTTAAGTGCAATGTACATGAGTGTGTGTACGAATGTATGCATGCATATGAATTTTAATTAAGAACATCCTCATCTTCGTCTTCTTCCTGCTCCTCCTTGACTTTACGCTCCGCCTCGGTAACGCGGCGCTGCAAGTGCCGCCAGAGCGTGCTTTTGGGTATTTCGAAGAGATTTGCTGCATGATTTTGCGACATGCCTCCGTTTATGCAGGCATGCACCGCCTTGGCTAGCTTGTCGCGCAGCTCATCCTTTGGTGTGCTATCTCGCCGCCGGCAAGCAACAAAATCGGGCAGGCGTCCTTGTGCCGCAAGCCTCACCTTGTGTCGGTGCAGCGTCGACATGGGTATATGCAGATCCTGGCTTATGCTTTTTAACGAGTCGCCATTTTTCAAGCGTTCGTATGCTTCCGAAAGCGAAGGCTTCTCGCGCTTTATTCTCATGTAGGCCGGATTGGAGCGTACTCGTCGCCACAGCACGGTTTTCGATATGTCGTAACGATCGGCAGCCTTTTGCAGGCTGAGCCCTTCGTGGAGTACGGCAGCAGCTGCCAGATCGAGGGCATCATTGATGTCATCCTTGCTTTCTTTTTTAAGTGCGGCGTGTTGTTGATATTGTTTTGTCATTGTCTTTTTTGTAACCTTCGCCGACATTGGCCGTTGGCGTGCCTTTGTTTTTAACATTTTCATATCTAGGTGAACTTTTCGGGGTTTCACATCCAGCAATTCATCATCTTCCTCCTCGTCTCCAGGTTCTCCTTCCTGCATTCCATCTTCGTGCAAATCAACATCGGCATCTGCGCTCATCTCTATTAATGGATCACCCGATCCAACATACTCCTCCTCGATTAACTGTGACTCGGATTCGTCCTGCTCGTCCGTATTTTCAGCCTCTGCATCATCATCGCCCAGCTCACCAGTCGCCACAGAGTCCACCACAGCTGAACTACCTGCCACACCTAATTTAGCCACAGACGATGCTGATTGTGTTATGGTAAATGTTCCCGTGTTCTCTGTTAATATATATTGATTCCCGCTGCTTGTGCCACCCATGTGTTCAATCGAATACGTTATTTTGGGCTGTTCACCGTAGACATCAAGAAATTCCAAGGTTCGGCCTTCCTGTTCGTGCTGCTGTTGGGGATTTGCGAGTACAGCATTGCCTACCTCCAGTTTGCCGACCACCGCACTAGGATCTTCCTCTTCCTCCTCCTCCATAAGAGCTGTATTCGCAATGTGTAACCCGCTTATTGACTTGGCAGCCTCGACCGCCATAGCGCCGCTTATAACATTCGAGGTGGTCATGGCAGTGGGATTGGTTTCGAAACTAATGGCAGATTTTATGCCCAATAGATTAATGGCCTCGAGAAACTCGGTGAGCAGGGCGGAGGGTAAACTGGTCTCTCCCATGTAAATAAACGACAACATGCTCTCGAGCAGCTCACCACGAATGTCTGGCAGAATGACAGTTGCCTCCTGGCCGGCGGGTAAATCGACAAGCAGGTTGCGCATTAGATCGCTGCACGTACTCAGTACGAAAAGATGGGCGCGCACACTGATGCCGTCTTTGGCCACGAGCAATACCTCGCATTGTTGATTGTTGCTTTGTTGATGCAGCAGAACGCGCTGTATATCCATTATTGTGGACGAGTGCCCCATCCATTTTAGGTGATTCTGAAGAAAGATGAGCAAAAAATCAAGAGTAATCAAATCGCACTAGCTAGTCGGTGTTTGTTTTTGCAATTGTTCCAAAAACCATTACCATTTTCGTTTGTTGTGTTTTATTTTCCAAAAATCGGATTCTATTCTATTCCAGAGCACAAAGCGAAACGCGACGAAAATGGAGAGCGTTAGGGTTGTCAAGTGTGATTGAAGCGTGATGTTACTACGATTTCAAATATTTCCGCTTTAAGTCACTAATTAAATTAGATAATACATCAAATGCAAAATGATATATATTATTTTGCCTATGATTAAAATAATTATGCCGCCTCGACTAAACAAACAATTGTTGTGTTCAAAAATACTAGAAATTGATGACAATACTGAATGCGTTAAATTTGCGATTGGTGGTTCATTAAATTGAGCTAAGCTCTGAACATAATTAGTTCGTTATGTTCTGTTTTGCTTATTCCAATTTCGCAATAGTTCTGTTTGATAATGAAATTAAAATGCTCAATAAATTAATCACTTAAATATTATACAGAACAGTGTTATTTTAGGAACAGGAAACCGTCTGGTGCTAATTTTGTAGCGCCAGTTCTTGTACTGTTCCATAAAGAAATTTCAACAGTGTGAGAACCGAATTGGGCAGAATGAACGATCTAGTTCACTATGTATTTACCCAACACTGGCTCTTTGACGTTGTTATTACATAAATTGTCCAATATTGTGCAGATTATTGGATTTGTACTCAAATATTTGGTTTAATCGAGCGAATGGCCGCACTTATTAGAAATCTGGGCGCCAGGATTGCTTCCGCCGCCTTGACGGCCAAGCATGGTAACTATATACAGCATACATCTATGGTAATAATTCAAATATTTATTACACAGTGGTACCCGCTGGAACAGCTGCCCTGCGTATGCAAAGTACTGCTCCAGTTGATGCCAAAGCACCAGAGAAACGTGAGTAGTTCGAGTTGGTTAACTAATCTTTCCTGGGGACTAAAATGTATTTCGATTCGGCAGCTACTGTACGTAAACCGGATGCAGTTGCCCGCGCCAGCCTCTCAGATTTTGGGCGTTACGTTGCCGAATGTTTGCCCAAATATGTGCAGAAGGTGCAGCTGACTTCTGGTGATGAGCTGGAGGTACTCATCGCGCCCGAGGGCGTTGTGCCCGTGCTCCAGTTCCTTAAGGATCATCATCAGGCGCAGTTTACTAATCTGATTGACATAGCTGGCTTGGACGTGCCGTGCCGCAAAAATCGATTTGAGGTTGTTTACAATCTGCTATCGCTGCGCTTCAATTCTCGCATCCGGGTAAAGACCTACACTGATGAGCTGACCCCGCTAGACTCGGTCTGTGAGGTTCACAAGGCAGCCAATTGGTATGAGCGTGAGATTTGGGACATGTATGGTGTCTTCTTTGCCAATCACCCCGATTTACGCCGTATCCTCACTGATTACGGTTTCGAGGGTCATCCACAGC